GAGAAATAGTCGTATGGTCTTGAAGAAACAACTATGTAAGGGTATTTTCTGTAAGAATTCAATTATTGGCGAGTATGACGTTATTTTTCAAGTCTAAAGGATTTTTAAGAAAGAGTACTAAAAGCATTTAAGCAGTACAACCCATGAAAGTTTGTAGACATGTTGGGGATCGAACCTTCCCCTCCCAATGCTAGCCAATCAGGCAAAATCCTTCCACCATGACTTCCTACTAATATTATAAGTGAGAAAGTTTAGATGTATGGATGGTTGGATGGGTGGATGTTGGTGACAAGTAAACGCAAAAAATACTGGTCGGATTGGGCTGAAATTTGGTGAGATAGCTCACATTCCCGATTAACATATTGACGCATTTATCTCAAAAATTCTTTCGGCCCCCGACCCCAGCAAAAGCTATAATGTTTACCAACAGGGTGCAGCACTATTATTTTTTTGCATTTTTTGACAACATCTAATTTAAACCAACCAGCAACAAAAAGCTGTGAAAAATGAGAATGTTACTTTTTTATTTTTAGTGGCTGTGTTAGAGCATTATGCCTATGGTAGATGTGCCTTAGCAACAAACAATAATAGCAAAACGAAGAATTTTGTCATGTTTGCAAGCTGTGATGTCATAAAAAAATTGTTATATAATCTGTGGTTTGAACACAAAAACAATGGAATGTGCCAAATAACATATTTTTTTACTACATACTGAACTATTGAGCGTGTTTAATTATTCTTTTTTTAATTTACAATTTTTCATTTTCTACTACAAATTTTTTTCTTAGGCCTATCATGATAAATTTCCCGATGTTATTTTTGCATTATTATTATGTTTTGTTCCAGATTCATTCACATCTACGATGAGACCAAGTTCCAAATCACGAAACATTGTGAAAATTCAGTTTCTTTAACATAGATTGGAAATATTCACAGATTAAAATCTTTACCAACAGTAAACTTATGACAAATACCCAGAGCAAAAAGAAGAATAAGTAAGTATGCTTATATCATTTAGGGTCATAATAGGGTCATTTATTTCTCTTTTACGGATTGATGAATACCTGGTAACCATATTTCGCAGGTTCCACGGTAAACCTCACGCTGAGGTGCGATTGTTAGATGTCCCGGTGAGATGAAAGCCGCGATGACGTATCTGCAAACACGCTTATCACTGTTATCAGCACTATCAGCACACCATCACGTCAGCTGTTACTGACTACAAAGAAACCGCCAATACGGAACCTTCAATGGGCTATGACGTCACCGTCTGATGGAATCTGGAAAAACAAACAAATCTGGATGAAACCTGACAATACTTGAAATTATCAAATAGATTAGCAGGTCTAGAATATTTATAGTACTGTAATAAGGATTCTTCTGACGACCTACATTTGTCAAATTCTCATAAAGTTGTCGTTAGGGTTATATCCAAACATTTAAAACTGTGCGAGTTGCAATTTATTAAAAGCGATTTTGAAGAAATTGAAATTGTCCTTGGACTATTTTCCCTTTGAGTTTTCCAGTGATTAATTTACATGCTTATACAACTACTAGTTGTTGTACCCGTGCTTTGCAACGGGAAGAGGACACAAAATAGAAACATTTTTATCTTTACATCTGTTGCATTTAATATAGTTACACATCCACCAACGCTTTTAGAAACAAAATTCAACTTTTTTGGCCATAATAGAAAAGTTTAAGTTATGACTTTTAAATCTGGTAAGTAGTGGATACCACCATTTTGGGTTTGATTAATTTTAAATCTTGTGTAGGCTGATGTGAGATAAACGGACCAAATCTTCAAATAAAACTTTCACATACATGATTTACCTTAATCTCCCTTAGTTACATATCTTTTTTCTTTATTTTTGACATTTTAAATTTCAATTTTTAAGTTGCAAAAATACTAACTTTTAAATTTAAATGAAATTTTTTTAATTTCACTCTTCTTCATATTAAATCAAAAATCCTTCCATCTTCAGTTTCTTCACTCACAATAAATCATTATCAAGCAAAACTAAGTCAGCTGTTATAATCTTTAAAAATATTGTTGTGCCTTATCAATAGTCTTTCGAAATGTTAAAGAAACTATATCTGTACTATAAAAAATGTCAAACAAATAATTTAGCATTAACGACAGCAGAAAAAACTAATATGATTATCAAAGCATCAAGGACCAAGGACAAAAAATGTAATAGCAAATACAGTATATGTTTCATTTCATCTCTGATTCTACTCTACAAAAATATCAACAAACAACTTAATATCATACCAGTTCTTTTAATCAGGTCCATTTTCTATTGCCTTTACATTTTCACACTTACCATTAAGTAAACATAGTAACAGATATTTCATTGATTTTAGAAACAAAAGAACACTGTGTACTGCTTAGTTTTATTATATTTTCCTTGGTTTAATTTAATCAGTGATGTGACAAAACACAAATAATAAATTTATCAAATAAAGTAAATGTGAACTGAAAGCTATGTTAAGATAAAATAAGAGTATTTAAATCAACGATATACAATTTAGTTATTGGTGATATTCTTTAGTTTAATTTAAGCATTGGTTTAGCAAAACACAATAACTAAATTTACCTAAATATACATATAGAAATGATGTGAAAGTTATGTTAAGTTAATCTAACACATGTTAAGCAGTTCGAATTTACTTAAAGTAGACTCCAAATTCATATAAAACATCTATACATTGTAATTTTCTTATTGTTTCCATGAAAATATATATATAACATTATTTTCATAACATTTAAGACACCTTAAAAATCAAAAGTAGAGCCTAAGTTGATGCAGCAATGCTTTAAAAATATTTTTTTTATTTCTATAATCATTGACATAGTTTTGGAATAAATGATCTTTGATAAATTTTTAGATTAAATAAACCAACCACATAATTGTATGAAATATTAGGCTATATTAAATTTCTTTGGATCAGCTGTCTTAAAATGTGAAATATGCAATTTGGCAGTTCTTGTTTACATTGAAATGTCAAAGCAAATGTAAACATTGTGAGTATTCTCATTGCAGCCATGGAGACCAATCAATATTTACTTTTAAAATCCTCATCTCAGAACTTTTAAAGCCAAAGGGGCAAAGCCTACGGTCAGTATGGAAGTGTGAATAGTCCTATAATAGTCCTTGTCCTTGGTATGGTAACTATATTTTTGTAAAATTTAAGCCCAGTTGGTTCAGTAGTTTTTGCACCTATTAGTAATACACATACAGACAGACACCATTAGATTTTTATATAATAGTATAGATATAGATAGTATAGATTGTATACAGGATGAGCAATTTAACAGTGCCACCATTCGTACCATAGAAACGATGGCATTTAAAGAATTGTAACTGGATGAGAATATACTGATACTGTATTAATTAAAATCAGTAGTTGTACCAAAATGTGTAACTGCACTCTATGATTATATATTCAATATTGAAATATTTTTATTAATTTACATGTAGATGGTACAATACACAGGATCAATATAATTCTAAAGCTACTTCTAAAAATACAGTTAGTAAATAACACGGAAGGCTAGTAAAAGTTACAAAACAGTAAAAACAATAAATAGTAACTAAATATTACATTGACAAGTGGAACATATATCAATGGAATAAATGACTAGGATTAATATGCACTCTTTCAATAATGTACTGAACTTTATGAGATCTAACTTGTTGCCCTTTATCTATTGTTGGGAATTAGATGAAATAAAATGTTTGAACTGTATTTAGTTTTAAAACTATTTGCCAATGATGCAGTTGGGGGAAATAAGCCAAGATGCATGGAAAATCTAAAGCACAGAGTTAAGGGGTTTTCAGTAATTTTTCAAACATCTAGTCAGTGTGATGAGGGTAAGTTATTCCCCTGTTTCACAATTAAAGAAAGCAGGATGGCTGGTCCAAGCAGAGTACTAGGTTATTTGTTCTAACTGTACTTGAGAAAGACATTACATTTAATTATATAAGCTACAACTAACCTCAACTTCATCAAATCCAGCATATTTCTCGACAAGCAGCATGAGTGGCCCCAAACACTGTAGTGGGGTTGTGGTTCCACAAGTCTTGAGGATAAAGCGACGCCGAGACACGAACATGCTGCTCTCGCTGAAACACACAGACCTCACATCATACAAGAGTACAAAACTTCAAAAACTCATGGTAGAAACATGACAACAAGGCTGTGAGCTGGGGTTGACATACGCCAAGATTTTGCCACAAATGTCCCTCGGAAAGTTAGAACAATTACAAGTATAACACTACTTCATGAGTAATACATTTATAAATTAAAATTTATTTACAGCTTTACTTGACGTAACTTTTAAACTATGGATTAGGCAATAGTAGAAAAATTATGCTTTTAAACTAAAGGTTGTGAAGTGAAATAGTAAGTCGGACAGAGTTAGTTCTTTTCAAAAAATATGAAACAACTCCATAAAAAAACCTCCAAACAAAACTCACAGTTAAAAGAACATTTGTCAAAAAACAAATAACATCGCGTTATTCACCCAATGTTAGAAAAATGCATCAGCTATGGCATTACGGTAAATATATGTGATTACATTGTGTACATAAATTCTTTTACCTAAAAAGCTCTTGGAAAAGGTATTCTGAAATTTATTTTCTTACATTGATATCTTAATCAATTTATCGGTTATCAAATAATTCCAGCTTCTATAAGGTAACAACTCTCTGATGTCACAGCATTTTTTATGGCATAAATGTTGAAGGATTTTATTCAAATTTAAAAGAAAGAGGACTTTGTTTATCTCACATATTGAGAAATATTTTTTACAGCCTGCACACTTTAATGTTATGGACACCTGAGACAGCAGACATCACGGTTGTTGAAATATATAACAAGGCTGCTGGAAGATAACCTAGTAGATAAAGGAAATTATGTTCCAGGCGTAACCTCAACCAAGTATAAGTAACAGGGGTGAGCTGATGGTAAATAGTTCTAATCTTACAGGCAAGATGTCAACACTTAAGTATGCAACTGTGCTGTTATTCTTCATCATCAGTATTGAGGTAAAACTTATCAATTTTACTCTTAGGATATATTTGAGAAGTACTCATAAGATGTAGAGTACTCGTAATTATTGGATTGAATTGGAATAATGATGTGCTATGCATGTAGAGTAGAGTCACACTATGGGGAACATGGTTGATAGGCAAGGGGGCCTAAGAAAAACTAAATGAAAAAGAATTTCTAAGCGTTTTCGGATTTTGAACAAGTCAATGCATTCTGCATACATCTGTGCAATTTACCACAATTCAAGAATGAGCTACTGTTCTAATCTTAAAGAAACGAAGAATAACATTTTTAAACTTTTCAGTATTTAAGTAACTTAAATTATTAGTTCTAACCATTTAGATGAACAGATTATATCTGGAGTCACCACTCTGTGTTTAAAAAGCGTACCAATGTTTTTGCTGTTTTTTTTTCAGTGTTTCGTGTTGTTAGGTTGGTCGTATGATCGGTTGGTTGGATGCTGTCAAATTGGAGAGGCAAGATGGTGTCATCCTGTTGTTTTGTTGATAGTAGTAAACAAAAATTGTTAACATTATGACTGTAATATAAGTTTATTTATTAATTTTACGAACAACCCATTTTAACAAGATCATAAACCAATGTTCGTTCTTCAATCAAATGCCAAAGGGCTAAACCATTCATAACTATGGGTTAAACCCAAACCTAAACCAATATCTTCAAACCAGGAAACTTGACTATTTTCACCATTATAGCTTGAAAAGAGGAAAATAAGTTAGCATTTATTTAGTATCAAAAACAATAGATAATGTTTCTAAACTTAAAATACATAGGTTTTAACTTGCACTAGCTTAAATAAACTGTTGATATGTCCATCAACTAACGGATAACACCAAATAAATAGCATGGTTGAAATTAATTGAATGTTACAGTATCCAATCAACTGATCATAGGGCCAACCTAACAACACGAAACACCGAAAAAAACCAGCAAAACAGTGGCACGCTTTTCTCTAATTTTCAACCAGAGAGTAGTGACTCCAGTTTAAATCTATTTATCTCAATGGTTAGAAATAATAATTTAAGTTACTGAAATACTGAAAAGTTTAAAAATGTTATTCTTCGTTTCTTTAAGATTAGAACAGTAGTAGCCTATAAGTAATAGGCTAATAGTAGTATCCCTATAACCTACAAGCCTAGTATCAACTATCAATAACACATGATATCAGAAATGTAAGTCTGGGAAAAGATTATAAAGTAAGTGTAATGTTTCAGGACGTTCAAGTAACAAAGACTTTCAAAAAGACATTTCCAGTCTTATTTTTTAAGACGACAAAATCAGTAACGGAAAAATCTGGAAAACAATTATTTCCCTTGCTTCAGCCACAACAGGGAACTGTGAATTGTGAGACAGAATGTTCTGAAGACGATTGGGGCTTTCTCGACATCTTAGACATATTTTCTGATGACGGTGACGACAAATGCACTGTTGACTGTAAATTTACTTACAGCGGAGGGACAACATCAACAGTAAAAGAACAGGACAATGATGGAAAGAAGATAGAGGAAGCGATAAAGAAGTTGAAGGAAGAGTTAAAGATAGAGCAAGAGAAAAATAAGCGGGAGGAAGAGAAAAAGAAGCTGGAGGAAGAGAACACAATCATAAAGGCAAAGATAGAGAAATTAGTTGAGAGGATTAAGGTGTTGGAACAGAAGCCCACACCGGGAACTCCCGTAACAGCGGTAACACCCGTTGTAACACCTCCCTAGCACGCCAGGTTGTGTCCCGTTTGCGAACAGTCCCATTTGCGAACAGGGTAAAATCTGTCCGTTTTGCGAACAACTTTAAGATGTCATACATCACCTGTCCGTTTTGCGAACACACATTTGAAACGACCCTTGAAACCTACTATATAAGATATTACCTGGAACACGTAGCGATGGCCCTAGTAGCTTTTGAAGTTGGGTAGTTTTTCAACCGCTTTTGTGTTTGATCATTTACTCTATTGGTTTAAACGAAGAATTGTTAGCCAATTTGTCAACAAGATGTATTTAAATTAAACTAAAATATATAACAAATAACATGTTTTACATAATTTGGTTATGTGTAATCAGTTCAAACTCAAATCCCATGCGTATGAATATCATTGAATTTCGTATAATCTTTTGACAAAAAATTCATAAATAATCTTTAGTATAGTACTTAGAAACCTACCTCATACCTAAACAATACCACAGTATAACTTTATTTACAAGCAGCTAAATCAATATAATGATTAGTGAAAATGTTAACACAATACTGATCAAATATATATGGCACATGAATTCACTGTCAGAAAATAGAGTAAACTTACAAAAAATGATTTAATTTGTAATTTATAGTTAAAAAATACGAGCCATTTGTTTTTGCTAAGTTTTCAATGATTGCTTTTTCATTTTCGTAGTCTTGTTTAGTTATTGAAATTTGGAACATTCTGTGATTGTGAATTAAAACTTGTCATTTTGTGTTGTCATAGGGCGTTGGAATTTATTGGCATAACGAGGTCTGTTTGGGTTTCTTTTGTATAAATTTTGAATAAATGTTTTGAACTACTGTATTTGTTGTGATTGTCAAATCTAAAAATTCGATTTTTTATTTCTATTGTAAATTTGATTTAGTTAGATATTGTGTTTAAGTTAGAATTAGGAAATTTTACGTCATTCAAACAATGTTTATGTCGAGGGTCGGTTAAGTTAAGAGGAACTTGGTTAAAATATACATATCATGACCTTGAAACGCTTGTAAAAAGTTATTCATTGAATAGAATGTGAAATCTACAGAAAGTGTCAAAAGTTATAATGTAGATAGGTAGTAGCTACCTCTGGATTAGAAAACATCATAACTAATCTATGGGTAGTAATATGAAATTATGATTTAAAAATTTGTGAAAAGGCAAATGGTGTGAACAATATTTCTCTAAAAATGGCAAAAATATACAATTAATTATCTCATTGAGAAAAAGTTTCAATTTTTAAGGTGTGTACCCTACTCTAAACACATGTTAATTGTTCAAAAATTTTAAAATGATTCAAGTAAATGTAAACTAAATAATTTCACTATTTTTTACACCAAAATCTTTCAATACAATTATTCACATTAGCGAAAATTTAATCATTAATTAGGGTTAGATACAGCAACAGATATACAATCTCACTTATTGCATAAAATCAATAATCACTAAACCATCAAATAGAATGTGAAATCTACAGAAAGTGTCAAAAGTTATAATGTAGATAGGTAGTAGCTACCTCTGGATTAGAAAACATCATAACTAATCAATGGGTAGTAATATGAAATTATGATTTAAAAATTTAAAAGGGTGGGAGGGGGATCTTTTCTAAAAACATTGGCTACCCCAAAACGGCAACGGTAAGTTGAGGCAGCCCAATCTGGGAATAAATAAACATGTCACATGATTGTAGAGAATATTATATGCCTATTTATAAACCAGCTGTGGAATTGTGAATTAATGTGGTTTGACAGTTCAGCTTGTTTACATTTGGGTGGCATAGCAAATTGCAAACATTTTATGTGTTCTCATGGCAGCCTTGGAGACCAATCAATATTTACTTTTAAAATCCTCACCTCAGAACTTTTAAAGCCAAAGGGGCAAAGCCCACGGTCAGTATCGAAGTGTGAATAGTCCTATAAAGGTACTTGGTATGGTAGCCATATTTTTGTATAGTTTAAGCCCAGTCAGTTCAGTAGTTTATGCGCTTATTAGTAAACAAACATACAGACAGACGCCACTAGATTTTTATATAATAGTATAGATTGATTGCTGTTTGAGTCAAACAGCTGAAAAACATATAAATATTTTAAAATGTTAAACATGTAGTCTATAAGTTGTAGCGGAGATCAAAAAGGTGTTTGCTCGCAAGTCTGTATACTTTTGATAACATAAGCATTACCAAATCTATTTCAGTCAAATTTGGTAAATAACTTTTGTGAAATCCTACATTTTTTATCGAAATCTTAAATCAACAATTTCGGACTGTAGAAATATAAATTAAAGGAAAACGGGGTTTTGGATTTTTTTATTCATATTCGTTACAGACAGTTAATGAATCTAATCAAAAAAATAGTCCCTGCTCGTATTGATTCATTGTACTTGTTTACTGCCGATGAAATAACCAATATTTATACAATCAATATTCAAAAGTAGGCCTAAAAAGCAGATATTCTGATAATGTCTTTAAATATTAGCTTTGTATTCTACAAGCAGAAAGACAACAATTAACGTGCGGGAGACTACCTGACTAAGGGTAGAACGAAACTTGTTCGCAAGGGAACGGGACGATTGGCACACATTTTTGGATCTTCTGCCCATGGCAGTATTGGAACAATCATTTGAGTGGAATAAGTAGGGTCAACTCGCCTGCTTGGAAAAGGCACGATTGGCACAACCGCTCGACCAGGTAGACGCCATCGAACGAGGGAAAACGGGAAGTTTAAAATTCCCCGTCATCTCTGCTACTACAGTCATTTGTCGGTAATATCGCGTATTTTCAAAGGTTAAGTTAGGTTAGGTTAGGTTAGGTTAAGTTAGGGTAGGTTAGGTCAGGTTAAGTTAGGTTAGGTCAGGTTAAGTTAGGTTAGGTTAGGTTAGGTTAGGTTACGTTAGTGTAGTTTTATTTGGTTCCAGCTAGCGCAGTGACCGTAGCTGCAGATTTGTCGTGCAAACTTACACCTTCCTTACTCTAATAAGCACCACAGCAGGAAATTTGTGGGGACAAAACAATGTCCATTTTCCCGCATTCTGGCTACCTGCCTACTACTTCCATACCGGTCTGTTGTGCCAATCGTGCCTTTCCGAACCCTACAGGTTGACCCTTCTTAATCCCTTCTAATGATTGTGCCAGTCGTGCTATTCCAAATCGGCTAAAAATGTGTGCCAATCGTTCTAAGGCCGTTCGCAAACGGGACTCCTTCCCAGGTACCTCACCCCACAGCCAAAAATTTGTTCGCAAACGGGACTGTTCGCAAATGGGACTGTTCGCAAACGGGACGACACCGCACGCCAGCCAGCGCGTGGTGCAAAATGTTTGTCTTGACTGTACTCTTTCTAACCTGACCAAATCTCTTACTCCCTTCCGTGCGGATGTAGGTAAGCTATAGGTCTCGCCGGGTAGACCCGTACTGCGCCAGGTCTAAATAATCCCTCTTTAGCAAACGCCCGTACTGCGCCAGCACTAGTCCAGGTAGGTGAGGGGGCGCCTTCTGGTTAACCTACCCATTGGAATTTGGAATGTAAACAAACCACACACCCTTACGCATCATTGGTATTGCGAATGTTAACAAACATCACAGCTTCCGTTATTTGACCTAGGTCAACACCCCTCGTCACTAATTTAACAAATCTTGCTCTTTACCGCATCCGAATATTTTTGCGTTTCTCAGTGCCATTGAGGAATCAAAATTAGACACATGTTTAGCAATCAACGGTGCTTTGGAAAATGAAAAAAGGACAAGAAAGAAGGCCACGCTTCTTCGACAACAGTTTGTCAAAACAAAAATTAATCAATTAAAAGCCGGTGACTTGGACCTACTTTGTTTCTTGAATTGTGTTGCTATCAATTTTGCACCCATTTAGGCCTAAACAAAAACATTACTTTTTTGCTACGCTACTGTGAAATGGCTTTTACACCATACAACACAGAAGCAGGTACTTTTCTTACGACTATTCTCCATTTTTAGGCGTTTCCGTGATAGCAAGTAATAATCTCGGTCGTTTCTGTGATCACAGAAAATTGTCACGGATGTTACGCACGCATTTGCTTCCCATTTTATTACTTTAGCTAGTGGGATGGTGCTCAGAATGTTTACTTAACTAATTTGCTTTAGTTGAACGCTAAATTAATTATTTTACCGTGGAAAGCGTGACATTATATCGCAATTGAAATTTTGAAAGGTTTTCTATTAACACCGTAGCAAAAAATACTGAATTACTAATTCATCAACTTAAATGTGTCCTCGAATCATTATTGTATCTTTGTTTATCGCTTTTGTCATAGTTTTTTATACAACCGATTTATTTTCGTTACCATGGATATTGAAAACTGCATTTGTATTAATTCAATCAATGCACGCAGTAATTTCAACGAAACATAGTTTAATAAAAATACACCTATATAAGTACCTAAATAAGCCGATCTGTCATCTCCTAAGAAGATAGTTTAACCCGGAAGACATGGGATCTGACCTCTCAATGTTAGACAGTAAGAGATTGTCACGTCACGTCAAATGTGTGGATATAAACGGCTACGTTGTACTATTTGATTGAGTAAGTACACGTCTATTAAGTGTTAATATAAGAGCAATAGCCTACATATAAATATAATGTAACTGTTCAATTAATGTTAAGAGGACTAAATCTAAAGCAATACAAATCGCTTGAGTTGGACGACAAAGAAATAAATTTGGTAAATTTGATTCGTAATAATAACGTAATCTATTTGATTAGTAATATCAATAAGGTCGTAATACTATGTGTTGGGCATCACCCTACACTAGATCCAAACATCTACAGTATCTAGAAAGAAAACAAAACAAGGATAGATAAATTAGACGATAAGTTATTCCTAGATATTGGATACTTAAGTCCCTCCATTATGATTATGTTGACTAAATTAAATCAAATATTTTGTTATCCAATTTGTAAACTCAAATCTCTCTGGATTTTGAAATTTGGATTACTTTACCACGTCGTATTGTCATCAGATTTCATGTT